GCATATATGCAAATATAAAGGTATCCTGAGGCTTCACAGCCAATAGATTTTGGTTGGCAAAATGCTGTTAGCCTTCCTAACACACCAAGCTGGCAGGAATAGCCAACACTCCAGAAGACAGGCTTAGGATACAGGAGGATCTGGACAGACTTGAACACTGGACGCTATCTAACAAAATGAAATTCAATGGTGAAAAAAGTAAGGTTCTACATTTAGGCAAGAAAAACCAAATGTACAGGTATAGTATAGGGGATACCTTGCTCAACAGTAGTAACTGTGAGAGGGATCTCGGAGTCCTAGTGGACAATCACCTAAATATGAGCCAGCAGTGTGCTGCAGCTGCCAAAAAAGCCAACATAGTGCTAGGCTGCATTAACAGAGGGATAGAATCAAGATCACGTGAAGTGTTAATACCACTTTACAATGCCTTGGTAAGGCCACACTTGGAATACTGCATCCAGTTTTGGTCACCATGATGTAAAAAAGATGTTGAGACTCTAGAAAGAGTACAGAGAAGAGCAACAAAGATGATTAGGGTACTGGAGGCTAAAACATATAAGGAACGTTTGCTGGAATTGGGTATGTCTAGTTTAACGAAGAGAAGGACGAGGGGGGACATGATAGCAGTGTTCCAATATCTCAGGGGCTGCCACAAAGAAGAGGGTGTCAAGCTATTCTCCAAGGCACCTGAAGGCAGGACAAGAAGCAACGGGTGGAAACTAACCAAAGAGAGAAGCAACCTAGAACTAAGGAGAAACTTCCTGACAGTTAGAACAATTAACCAGTGGAACAACTTGCCTCCAGAAGCGGTGAATGCGCCAACACTGGAAGTTTTTAAGAAGAGACTGGACAGCCATTTGTCTGAAATGGTATAGGGTTTCCTGCCTGAGCAGGAGGTTGGACTAGATGACCTCCAAGGTCCATTCCAACTTTATCATTATTATTATTATTCAAAGCACATTATGAGCATATTTTAACTATTGCAGTATATATATGGCTACTAGGAAGATACAGTCAAGGTAGAGAGAGAATATTTAGATGTTCTATATAGCCATGCAGATTATGTACAACTGACTGGGAAAGAATCAAGAATCTGGTTACCTTTGAATGGCTGGAAACAACAATAATTAGACTTTAGAACAGAGAACTTTGACAATAGTCAGGATTTTGTGTTTTTTTTTTTTAAATGAAAGCTACTTTCTGCTTATTAACCAATTTCAGTACCATTTATATGTTTTCTGCTTCAAAATGATGAGAATCCATTTTGAAATAGTGCAGAACACATAAAAAGTTACACTCAAACACTTTTTAAATTACAAATACTTAAGTCACATAAATCTTTGTAATGAAAAAGATGGAAGAGCAATCCTGCGAAAATTTCCATTTAGCTGTTCAGCACCTGCATCATTTGGATCCTTTAGGAGTTCAGAATGATATCAGTTCCAATGTAAACTAATGTAGAAACCCTTGTGTTCATCTTAAGTCCTTTTATTATAAATACCGGTAATATTAAACCATACATTTTAACACTTCCTGGACTTGCATTCATGTGAGTTCTCAGCAGCAACATTTTTCTCCATACGAACCCAGTAGCCAGACAAAATTAAACCATGGACATCATGATTTTATGGTGAAGGATATGCGGTGTATCGGACTTTGCAAAGCCATGCCTTTTTGTTTATTTATCCAGGCAAAAGAACAAGCATCTATAATGACATATATGATCATCAGTCTAGCTCTTAGCTAGATTTTTAAACCAGGGGTGTCAAACTCACAATGTCACATGATGTGTCGCGACATATCATTACTTTTTTTTCGATTGCAATGGGGGGGGCGCAGTTTCAGCATGATGCATCCGGCCCATGGGCCAGCAGTTTGACACCCCTGTTTTAAACCATGAAACAGAAAAAATACTGAGGCCCAGCTGCTCCTGCTGTCTCCCATCCTCTGATATTCTGCTATTCATATGGGTCTTTTCTGGGTTATTCAGCTCTGGAGTTCATCCACAAAGCCCAGCTATCAATACATCTTGTACAAATTTGTCCCCAGGAATCTAGACTGATTGTAGCAGCCACTCCCCTCTGTCCCAAAGCGATATCCATAGTTGGAGATCAACCAAGATGAGCCAGACACTCCTATTATTCAGGAATAACTGCAATTTTTACATGGAAAGCATTAACTTTTGAAGCCAACTTCAGTGGAAGCCAAGAAAGGAGAAATATACATCACAGATGTCTCAGCTCCAGAACTCTAATTGTGCAGAAGATACATTTCTGCCTTTTGAACCTAGGAAAAGAGATGCAGTCACTACTCTAGGATTTAGGCAACCGTTGAAAACTGGCTTTAAGGACAGATAGGTTGGATAATAGTTTGCCTAACAGGTAAGGCAGAGAAATAGGAGGCAGATGGTTACCTGAGCTTGTCTGCTATAAATATCACCCGTCTCTCCAACAGCAAGGAAGCAAAGACTCTACTTAAGTGCCTGATGCTAAGCGAGGAGAACAGAGATTCAAAATCAACATGTTCAAGTCTTGAATCAAGCGGTCGACACAGCTCTATCACCTGAAACAAAGAATGCAGTAGACATACAAGATGTAAAATCAACTCTGAGTTAGTTCTGACCTGAGCATCCTATAAGCCCTATTATTAAATCTGTAAATAGGGGGGGATAAGACTCTGAGAATACCAATTGCAGCCTTTTCAGAATTGTGGGCCACAATTTGTTTTGTAAATTTGCCTTACTCAAAAGACGCCCCCCCCACTTTTCTGTGTATTTCGACATTGGAATCTTCTACCAGGAAGTAAACAAATGTGCTGATTCCTAACTCCACATCTTCAGAAAGCAGTTAATTGAGGGACCCAAAGGAAAACATATACATGGGAAGTTGCAAGCATGCAAGTTTAGCTACTTCATCTATTTTTGAAGGGTGGTTCTATCTAGATCAGTGGACTTTAACTCTCAGAATCCCACAGCCAGCATTACTTCTGTTCCAGAACCAGGAAGGAAGTTCTTGATGGAGATAGTCCGACCCAGGGCTGGAAAAGGAGCTTCCATGACACTCCTCATGAGCGGCTGGACCAAGGCAGGCGAAATGCCACGTCTTTTCTCAACCTCATCCAAGATCTGAACGACAGAGAAAGAAGAAATAGAAGGGAGGAGACCAAATATTTTGCTTCAGGAACCTACTCCTTTTCTCTCCTCTTGCAAGCTTTTCATTGTTGTCATATCATTATTTGATGCCACACAAAACTATCAAGCATCAGAATCCCAGAGTTACTGGTGGGAAGGGCCTCTCTCTCATTTAGACACCTAGTGCTGTTGTTGTGTTACTATTTCTCCTTCAAGTTAAGTAAATAGCTGGTGGGGAGGCATGGGGAGGCATGGGTGGGCATGCTTTTCTGTCCAGACAATATACCCTCGAACAATATGTCCCCCTCCCAAACTGCTATTTGTCCTCAGCTATGAAACTTATTTAGCTACCTATGGGAAGTACCTCCCAGTAGGTCTGGGAGCAATTTTAAAAATTGGAAATTGTACAAATAAAAAATGACGAGATTATGGTCTCCATCCTCCAGAGGATACTTTTCTGATCCAAACTGCCTCTCTGGGTGGCTCTTTTCTTTCTTTTAAAAAAAACAAACAGAAGGAAATGCTAATCACAGATCTCTTGCAGTACCTACTTTGGCTTCTAACTGTGGCAGAAGAAGAAAAATGCATTTAACGTGCTTAAAAGCAGAAACAACTGGCCCTTTTTAAAAGCACTTGAGTGAGATTCTTATTTGACAACAGCAAACGACTGTTCTGAATTATCAGTCGGGACCCGGTTTTCATCCTTGTTTGGAGTTGCACTTCCAATGGGCAATGTGGATCAGTAAACTGACCAGGGAAGGGTCTCCCTCCTCCTCTGTCCCTACCCATTTTGGGGATAATTTGCATGGTCCTTCTCCCTCACCTTCGAGAAGAGGTTGAAACACCCCAAGCGGCTCACAATGCAGTAAACTTCTGGAAGACGTTTCCCTTTCCCACTGGGCTTTCAAGAGAGACAGACACAACACAGATACACAGAAACAGACAGTGATGAACAAGAAGAAACCAAAGTCATGATGACCTTCTATTCCAGTGGTGGCGAACCTATGGCACGGGTGCCAGAGGCGGCACTCGGAGCCCTCTCTGTGGGCACACGTGCCGTTGCCCAAGCCTCGCCTCCCCCCGTGACCCCTTCCTCTCCAGCAGCCCCCCTGAAGGAGAGTCGCCCCTGAGCGTGGCCCACCCGGAGCAGCACAGCCAAGGACATGGCAGCCAGGCAGCGTAGACAAGTCTCTGCCCTCACACCCCATCATGCACAGTTGATGCTGCAGNGCTGCATTAACAGAGGGATAGAATCAAGATCACGTGAAGTATTAATACCACTTTACAATGCCTTGGTAAGGCCACACTTGGAATACTGCATCCAGTTTTGGTCACCATGATGTAAAAAAGATGTTGAGACTCTAGAAAGAGTACAGAGAAGAGCAACAAAGATGATTAGGGGACTGGAGGCTAAAACATATAAGGAACGTTTGCTGGAATTGGGTATGTCTAGTTTAACGAAGAGAAGGACGAGGGGGGACATGATAGCAGTGTTCCAATATCTCAGGGGTTGCCACAAAGAAGAGGGTGTCAAGCTATTCTCCAAGGCACCTGAAGGCAGGACAAGAAGCAACGGGTGGAAACTAACCAAAGAGAGAAGCAACCTAGAACTAAGGAGAAACTTCCTGACAGTTAGAACAATTAACCAGTGGAACAACCTGCCTCCAGAAGCGGTGAATGCGCCAACACTGGAAGTTTTTAAGAAGAGACTGGACAGCCATTTGTCTGAAATGGTATAGGGTTTCCTGCCTGAGCAGGAGGTTGGACTAGATGACCTCCAAGGTCCATTCCAACTTTATCATTATTATTATTATTCAAAGCACATTATGAGCATATTTTAACTATTGCAGTATATATATGGCTACTAGGAAGATACAGTCAAGGTAGAGAGAGAATATTTAGATGTTCTATATAGCCATGCAGATTATGTACAACTGACTGGGAAAGAATCAAGAATCTGGTTACCTTTGAATGGCTGGAAACAACAATAATTAGACTTTAGAACAGAGAACTTTGACAATAGTCAGGATTTTGTGTTTGTTTTTTTTTAAATGAAAGCTACTTTCTGCTTATTAACCAATTTCAGTACCATTTATATGTTTTCTGCTTCAAAATGATGAGAATCCATTTTGAAATAGTGCAGAACACATAAAAAGTTACACTCAAACACTTTTTAAATTACAAATACTTAAGTCACATAAATCTTTGTAATGAAAAAGATGGAAGAGCAATCCTGCAAAAATTTCCATTTAGCTGTTCAGCACCTGCATCATCTGGATCCTTTAGAAGTTCAGAATGATATCAGTTCCAATGTAAACTAATGTAGAAACACTTGTGTTCATCTTAAGTCCTTTTATTATAAATACCGGTAATATTAAACCATACATTTTAACACTTCCTGGACTTGCATTCATCATGAGTTCTCAACAGCAACATTTTTCTCCATACGAACCCAGTAGCCAGACAAAATTAAACCATGGAGTTCATGATTTTATGGTGAAGGATATGCGGTGTATCGGTCTTTACAAAGCCATGCCTTTTTGTTTATTTATCCAGGCAAAAGAACAAGCATCTATAATGACATATATGATTATCAGTCCAGCTCCTAGCTAGATTTTTAAACCAGGGGTGTCAAACTCACAATGTCACATGACGTGTCGCGACATATCATTACTTTTTTTCCCATTGCCAGCAATGGGGAGGGCGCAGTTTCAGCATGACGCATCCGGCCCATGGGCCAGCAGTTTGACACCCCCGTTTTAAACCATGAAACAGAAAAAATACTGAGGCCCAGCTGCTCCTGCTGTCTCCATCCTCTGATATTCTGCTATTCATATGGGTCTTTTCTGGGTTATTCAGCTCTGGAGTTCATCCACAAAGCCCAGCTATCAATACATCTTGTACAAATTTGTCCCCAGGAATCTAGACTGATTGTAGCAACCACTCCCCTCTGTCCCAAAGCGATATCCATAGTTGGAGATCAACCAAGATGAGCCAGACACTCCTATTATTCAGGAATAACTGCAATTTTTACATGGAAAGCATTAACTTTTGAAGCCAACTTCAGTGGAAGCCAAGAAAGGAGAAATATACATCACAGATGTCTCAGCTCCAGAACTCTAATTGTGCAGAAGATACATTTCTGCCTTTTGAACCTAGGAAAAGAGATGCAGTCACTACTCTAGGATTTAGGCAACCGTTGAAAACTGGCTTTAAGGACAGATAGGTTGGATAATAGTTTGCCTAACAGATAAGGCAGAGAAATAGGAGGCAGATGGTTACCTGAGCTTGTCTGCTATAAATATCACCCGTCTCTCCAACAGCAAGGAAGCAAAGACTCTACTTAAGTGCCTGATGCTAAGCGAGGAGAACAGAGATTCAAAATCAACATGTTCAAGTCTTGAATCAAGCGGTCGACACAGCTCTATAACCTGAAACAAAGAATGCAGTAGACATACAAGATGTAAAATCAACTCTGAGTTAGTTCTGACCTGAGCATCCTATAAGCCCTATTATTAAATCTGTAAATAGGGGGGGTAAGACTCTGAGAATACCAACTGCAGCCTTTTCAGAATTGTGGGCCACAATTTGTTTTGTAAATTTGCCTTACTCAAAAGACACCCCCCCACACACACTTTTCTGTGTATTTCCACGTTGGAATCTTCTACCAGGAAGTAAACAAATGTGCTGATTCCTAACTCCACATCTTCAGAAAGCAGTTAATTGAGGGACCCAAAGGGAAACATATACATGGGAAGTTGCAAGCATGCAAGTTTAGCTACTTCGTCTATTTTTGAAGGGTGGTTCTATCTAGATCAGTGGACTTTAACTCTCAGAATCCCCCAGCCAGCATTACTTCTGTTCCAGAACCAGGCAGGAAGTTCTTGATGGAGATAGTCCGACCCAGGGCTGGGAAAGGAGCTTCCATGACACTCCTCATGAGCGGCTGGACCAAGGCAGGCGAAATGCCACGTCTTTTCTCAACCTCATCCAAGATCTGAACGACAGAGAAAGAAGAAATAGAAGGGAGGAGACCAAATATTTTGCTTCAGGAACCTACTCCTTTTCTCTCCTCTTGCAAGCTTTTCATTGTTGTCATATCATTATTTGATGCCACACAAAACTATCAAGCATCAGAATCCCAGAGTTACTGGTGGGAAGGGCCTCTCTCTCATTTAGACACCTAGTGCTGTTGTTGTGTTACTATTTCTCCTTCAAGTTAAGTAAATAGCTGGCGGGTAGGCATGGGAAGGCATGGGTAGGCATGCTTTTCTGTCCAGACAATATACCGTTGAACAATGTGTCCCCCTCCCAAACTGCTATTTGTCCTCAGCTATGAAACTTATTTAGCTACCTATGGGAAGTACCTCCCAGCAGGTCTGGGAGCAATTTTAAAAATTGGAAATTGTACAAATAAAAAATGATGAGATTATGGTCTCCATCCTCCAGAGGATACTTTTCTGATCCAAACTGCCTCTCTGGGTGACTCTCTGGGTGACTCTTTTCTTTCTTTTAAAAAAAACAAACAGAAGGAAATGCTAATCACAGATCTCTTGCAGTATCTACTTTGGCTTCTAACTGTGGCAGAAGAAGAAAAATGCATTCAACGTGCTTAAAAGCAGAAACAACTGGCCCTTTTTAAAAGCACTTGAGTGAGATTCTTATTTGACAACAGCAAACGACTGTTCTGAATTATCAGTCGGGACCCGGTTTTCATCCTTGTTTGGATGATTGTCCCCACTTTGGGGACAATTTGCATGGTCCTTCTCCCTCACCTTCGAGAAGAGGTTGAAACACCCCAAGCGGCTCACAATGCAGTAAACTTCTGGAAGACGTTTCCCTTTCCCACTGGGCTTTCAAGAGAGACAGACACAACACAGATACACAGAAACAGACAGTGATGAACAAGAAGAAACCAAAGTCATGATGACCTTCTATTCCAGTGGTGGCGAACCTATGGCACGGGTGCCAGAGGCGGCACCCGGAGCCCTCTCTGTGGGCACACGTGCCGTTGCCCAAGCCTCGCCTCCCCCCGTGACCCCTTCCTCTCCAGCAGCCCCCCTGAAGGAGAGTCGCCCCTGAGCGTGGCCCACCCGGAGCAGCACAGCCAAGGACATGGCAGCCAGGCAGCGTAGACAAGTCTCTGCCCTCACACCCCATCATGCACAGTTGATGCTGCAGGGCGCGGGCAGAGGGCGTGATCACCATAGCGCTGCTGGGCTGCCTGGGAGATCTGTGGCGGGCCCTGGAGGCGATGAGTGGCCCTGCGAGCAGGCGGGGTGGGGGATGGGGGGTGGGGCGGGGGCAGGGTGAGGGGTGGAGCGGGGGCAGGGCCAGTTTTGGGGCACTCGGTCTCTAAAAGGCTCGCCATCACTGTTCTATTCTATGCACAAAGCAGTTCTTCCAACCTAACTTACTACAGGTAGTCTTCAACATACGACCACAATTGAGCCCAAAATTTCCATTGCTAAGCGCAGTTGTTAAGTGAGTTGTGCCTCATTTTATGACTTTTTAAAACCACAGTTGTTAAGTGAATCACTGCAGTTGTTAAGTGAATCTGACTTCCCCCATTGACTTTGATTACCAGAAGCTGGCTGGAAATGTTACAAATGGTAATCATATAAACCTGGGACAGTGCAACCATCATAAACACATGCCAGTTGCCAAGCAATCATATTTGATCAGGTGACAAAGGGGATGCTGCCAGTCATAAGTATGAAAAACCATTTTTTTTCAGTGCCGTTGTAACTTCTAGCAGTCACTAAACAAATGGCGTGAAAGATGAGAACTACCTGAACACTTCTGAGGTACCTATTTACTAATTTACAGTTATCCTATTATGCTAGATTGTTTTCCATAATTCTAATCCAAGGCGAATTTCTCTAAAAAAAACCCCAGCAAATTGCAAAAGATTGACTAAGTACCGCACTCTGCTAAAACAAAACAAAAATATCATTAATTTCCTAGATACGTGATTTCAAATATTCCATAACAGTGAGAAGACAGTTAAGAGAGCTTGGATTCGGCTACAGAAAGAAAACTATGATTCAGCAATAATATCAGAGGAGGCCTGTGAGACCATCCTACCTAATTTTTGAAGAAGAAACTAGATAGTTACCAGTATTCTTCTACAGTACCCAAATCTTCGGCTGCCATCTTCACTAGTCAAGACAAATGAAAATGTCTCACTGAAAAAGAGAAAGTTTTAAAGAAACTTTCTTCAATGACAAGGTTATCTTCAATTCTAGAAAATATGCATATAGATGTTAAAAAGAAAATAAATTATGTACGTTTTTAAGTACACATGCATCCTTTTCTTTTTACACGCCTATTAGAACAATATAAATAAGCCGCCTGGGAAAGCCAAGGGAAATCATCAAAACAATTAAAAAATGAAAATTAGAATATTTCGGACATGTGATGCGACACCCAGAAAAATACGGCATACTCCATTTAATTCTCCAGGGAAAGATTGAAGGCAAACAAGGTCCAGGCAGAAGAAGAACATCGTGATTTCAAAATCTAAGGGACTGGTTTGGACAAAATTCAGCAGCATTTTTTCATCCGGCTGCTGATAAAAAAAGGATCGCCAATATGATCGCCAACGTCTGATAACGGATATGGCACAAGAAGAAGAATAAATATTGTACTGCTCCTCCTCTTCATCACAAACATGCATGACAAATATGTCAACATCCCAACTAAGGTTAAGATGAAGGAAAGTAATCATAATTATTTCATCTCTTTGCTTCTTCTAAGTAGGATCAGGATAATTATATGGCCCTCTATCTGCATATAGGTAACTTTTGGGTCAAAATAATTATTTCTGTTTTACAGTTATCCTATTATTCCTTCCTTTTTTATTATTTATTTCTCTATTATGATTACATTCTGCCTTTTTTTCCAGGAACTCAAGATAGTTTTCTATTAGAGAGGCACTAATTTTGCTGTGCATATCTACTAATTGAACTTCCCTACTAGCTCTTAGCCACAGTATAAAATTGCCCTGGCAATATTTTTTTCCCTGTCATTCCTCCATATTATTTATTTAATTTATATACTGCCCATCTCACTGTTTGGGGCATCTCTAGCTGGTCGTTTTTGATTCCATCTCATTTCCAGTCTATGAATGAGGCAGGGTTAAGTTGTCCTTATGTGTACCAAGGCCAAGAACGCAAATTTTGATCTCATGGCTTTGGCGCTGCTGCAAGAGCCATCACTTTGGAAAACAGTTGTTAAGTACCATTTGTGCAGTGCCACTGTATCTCTGGTCACTGAATGAATGGCTGTTAAGTGAGGACTACCTGTACTCATATTTTGGGGGGGCGCATTCAGACGTATAGTTTTTAAAAGTCATACTTAAAAGTATTTGGGATAATAAATGTCATTTTTAAATGACATAAAATAATCATATTTTATGCTCACCTTATGGTATATTTGTGTGTTGGGGGGGGCGTGTTCTGTTTTGTGACTTCAAGTTGTCTTGATTCCTATTCACTGCATGAACAAATCCTTGTAATTTTCTGGGCAGCATTTTTCAGAAGTAGCTTGTCCTTGCCTTTTTTTTAAGGCCTAGACATAGTGACTGTCGCAAAGTCACCCAGTTGGCTTCTGGGCCTAAGGTAGGATTAGAACTCATGGTTTCCTGGTTTCTCACCAAGTTTCTTTAACCACTGTGCCACTATTCTTCTGTTGGTGGTCAGGCATCCCTTCAAATTAATCTTGACCGCTGGCAACTTCATAGACAAGTCCATGCAATTTTCTTGGCAATGTTTAGATATATGTATGCAGTTGTAATCATTTAATATTGCAGCTCTTTGTACAGATTATAAATAAAGACTATTTTTAAATTACAACTACTAATTTTGTGACTAATTCTGTAGCTTTCATGTTGCACCTTGCTTCGGTCAAAGACCAAATAAGAATTGATTGGATGACTGAATAAATGCATTGATTCCCTAAATATTTCTGAACCACTAGTTTTGTGTTTATTCTTCAGTTGTTCATGCTCAGGGATCTTCAAACTTGGTCCTTTTATGACTTGTGGACTTCTACTCCCAGAATTCCTCAGCCAGCGGGCCTGGCTGAGGAATTCTGGGAGTTGAAGTCCACAAGTCATAAAAGGGCCAAGTTTGAAGACCCCTGCTCATGCTGAAGTCAAAATTTATTTTGACTGTTATCATAAAAGCAATCTTGTATAAATAAAGCTAACATTATGAGTAATGGCAGGTTAGGAGCTGGCAAGAAGGGAAGAAAGGAACCATCCTTTAACTTGCCTGTTAAACTGAGAAATAGGAGTCCAGTCTTTTGCATCAGGGAAGCAAAACTGTGGAATCGCCTTTAGCTGATCCTCTGCCTCCCTCATGAATTTGAAGGAGCGCTCAAGCTAGCAGAAGAAAGGGAGAAAGAGATGTTTTTACCAGTAATTATTTAGGTAGAAGTAAAACTGCATGATTTTTTTCTCTCCTCTCTCCATCTACCTTGCTTCCTAAATAAATGGAGGAGTGATGACAGAGAATATATATCCATCTGGAGGATATTAACATAGCTGTTTGCCTAGAGACCAACATATATATATATATATACACATATATATGTGTGTGTATGTGTGTGTGTGTGTGTGACTCAGCCAATCAACCTTCCTCCCCATGCCCCTATTTACAGTCAAATCTTGATAATTCCCTTGTCTTGCAGATTTCCTCTACCTTTTAGCTAGTTATTACACCAATGCTAACATCCTTATTTTTAGAATTACATTCTGTTGAGAGTTACCAAAAGACAAAGCAAACTGCCTCAGATCTGGGAGGGAATAAGCAATGTAAAGTCACAGGCTGCATACAGTTCCCAGTGTTTATTATGAGCACAACTGCTTAAATCAGCAGCACAGATTTGCTCATTTTCAGGAAAGAGACATAAAACCTGTAATTGAAATCCAGAAATAGACTCAGCATTGTTTTAAGAAAGTAGTCAGCAACAAACGTCACCTTAAAACATAAGGATAAATTGGAAAGTTCTAGTCTATTCACTTGCTTCACTGCCCTGTCTTTTGTGACTATCAGTCTCCCTAAAAATGTTGTGGACCCTGGCTACCCACCTCTGGGTAGGTCAACCTCCCTAAGTTTCATCTTCTAGAATCTTAGCCAACAGAGCACAGCACTCCTTCCTTTGCTTCTCTCTGAACAGGCATTCTCTATCATAAGTCTTACCTTTAAAGGAAACTGCTGGGTAACTTCAGGGACATATGGTGCACAAGCTTGCTTCTTGTGTAATGACACTACAACAAAATATTCAAAGAGCTGCCTCTCTTGATACTCGATCAGATCTCTCTCCAAGGTGTGATACTTGGGGGCTTGCTTCAGGCGAGATTTTACATGAACAAGGCGTTGACTGTGAGCTACACAAAAGGTAAGCCAACAAAATCAACACAACTGTTTTGGGTGCAGCTCCCACAGCAATTAGAAGTTCTGTCTCACTTCAAACTACATATTCACCATGAATTCAGCCAGCCTTTCTTAACCTGGTCATTCTCCAGATATGTGGACATCACTATGAAGCATTCTCAGGAAGGACCCTGTAGGATGATAATCATAAGTGCTGAAACCCACCCAACTGAAGGGCACCAGAGTTCAGAAAGGCCGACCTAAATATTCTGGAACTATGTTGTGTTGTAACCAGGATATCAAAACATTCTGAAACATTATACAGAGAGAATCAAGATAAAAATGCAGTGTTGTTACTTGGTTGATATGACTTTTTTATATAGAAAACGAGAGGGGAGAGCACATAGCTCAAGAGTTGGAAATCTGCAGGATCACTCTTGAAATGGCCAGACTTGAACAACCTTCAGCAGAAACAGCATAGTCTGGGAAAGAAGTGGCATGTTCTAGAGTGGTAGCATATATCAATTATTAAATATAAGGATATCAAACTTCACCATACTTGCAACTGATACAATTGCAGTTTATCCACATAACTGAAACGCTAAACACAGAACCTCATTTTTACCTATAAAATCTATAGTCCTAAACACAATCATTTGAGCATATTCCCCAAGCTAGAACTTATGTTTGGATTGCAAATCCCAGAATTCCCAGCTACCATGGGCACTGGCTAAACTGCTTGGGAATTGTAGGACTTGTGGTGTGACACCATCTGGAAGGATCCAGGTCTGGAAAAACTGCATTAGGATATAAAACTCATTAAATATTGACTTCTGAGTACACATTTTAAGGACTGGGTTGTATAATGAACCTTTTTTAGGGTCATGAATGTTCATGTAGTCATCATAACAAATAATAATTCACTTTTGCAATAACGGAAGGCCTATACAGTCATAAAACATACCCTGATATTTTTGGGCAGGAAAAAAAAATTAGAAGGGGGAAAGCCCACAACTTTCAAGCCAAGAATCAATAACCTTCTCTAAAATTCATCTCTCAATTGATACCTCTTTGTTTTTCTTCTGTGTCACTGTCTGATTCACTATTTTCATCTGTAACTAGGAGGAAATAGAAAAGAACAGTAAACATCACTTTTCTAAAAAAAATAATTATTGTTTTCTGAATAGCAGGCAAAACCTAGAATGTATCATGGAATCAGTTCTTTTATACCCCCCAAAATAGGATGTCTGGTTGGGGTGGCCAGAAGATAAGTCAGGAACTACTAAGAAATTTCTAGAAAACTGCAGTAAATCATTTAGATTTTTGTTTACTGGGAGCAACACCAAACATCACCAAAATTAGGTTACTAAAATGAAGAAAGATTGGAAAATGGAGGGAGGGATCTTGTATGAAAGCACAATAAGCTCAATTCCTAATTGGAAAATGCTCAGGAAGTAGCCAAAAAGCAATGTTTTTGCACCTTGCTTTGGTTAATGAAAGATGGATCCTACTGTAAAAGATCAAGTGGAACAGTTAAGTCTGAAGTCCGAAAACTCAAATGTACCCTGTAGTAGTACTAGGATATAGGGCAAGTAGTACTAAATATTATAGAAAAGAGGCAACTGGGGCAGTAGCATCATATCCTTTATAACTAGCTGTTATTAAGGAAATCCCTTTAATGTTGAACAATACTGAGTAGGCCCAGGTCAAGTTGTCCAAAAAACCACTGGTCCAGCAACAGGCTTTCCTTACCTCTCCCTGAACTGGACTCTGTAGACTGTGACAATCTCTTGACGCGCTTCTTCCCTCTTCGAGCCTCATAAATGGCATTGATTTTTAACACCAGCTGCTTAACGTAAAGAAGAAAAAGTAAATGCTTTCTTCTTTCCACAAATCCATCATTTTTTAAAAAAATGATGCCCACATCATTTTATCTACTAAGGTAATTACAGGTAGTCCTCAACTTATGACCACAACTGAGCCCAACATTTCTGTTGTTAAGTGACCAATTAAGTGAGTTTTGCCCCATTTTATGACCTTTCTTGCCACAGTTGTTAAGTGAATCACTGGAGGTGTTAAGTTAGTAACACAGTAGTTAAGTGAATCTGGCTTCCCCATTGACTTTGCTTGTCTGCAGGTTGCAAAAGAGAATCACAGGACCCCGGAACTCTGCAACAGTCATAAATATGAGTCAGTTGCCAAGCATCTGAATTTTGATCACATGACCATGGGGATGCCACAATGGTCGTAAGTATGAAAAATGGCCATAAGTCACTTTTTTCAGTGTTCTTGTAACTTCAAATGGTCACTAAACAAACTGTTGTAAGTTGAGGACTACCTATATTTTCTTATTTCCATTCCAATCCTTCAATTGCTCATCCTCCCTTCTCCTCTTATTATCTTCCCGTGTTGATATTTTTTCCATGAGATTCTCCCATAAATTCAGATTGTTAAAAAAGTAAAATAGCATGCACTTGCATAGATAATCAGGAAAGCAAAATTATTTGGAAGTATTTCCCTTGTTCAGTTGACAATTGCTTCAAAGATTCAGGAACTCTTAAAATTATATGACAAGAAAGCCTTGTTTGTCACAATATAACCTCCAGCTGATATTTAATGTTATTTTTTATTAATTTTAATAATTTGGTGTCTACATTGCTCAATTTTGGGAGGTAATGTATATACTTAATTTTAAAAGGACTCTCCTCTCAAAATTCAGAGAATTTTCAGGACTACTTAGGTGAAATTAATACTTTATTCCCTAGACAAGACTTAAAATAACAATTTCTGAACACTGCTTCTAATTCTTCACAGTCTTTTCTAAGTCACCCAAAAAATATTTAAAGAAAAAAAAATACCTTGGAAATTTTCCTTCTTTTCTTGCCATTTTGAGAATCACCCAAGGAGAAGAAAGTGTCATCAGGACTGCTAGGAGTGGAAGGGGGGCTGATTTTGGAAGGAGAATAAGTCCCATCCCGAGTTGGTTTCCGTATGTCTAATAATTTGAAACTTCTGCGTTCTGAGTTCTGCCTAAAGAAGATGGGCTTAGAGAGGACCTAAAGAGACAGACCACAATGGAGGGAAATGGGAGCATCAGACACTGCCTTTATCTCTATTTTTTTTTTAAAAAAAGAGTCTCTAATGTTTCAACATAAGGAACATTAAAACATTAGTTGTCAGAATTCTTGACTGGTTATTAGTGCCAACAATCTTTAACATTTGCTTAGATTTTTTTCATAGGATTATCTAGTAGGTCAATATATATATATATATATATATATTCCACAATGATTTGCTGAGAAGTCTCATTACCATGATAGAAACAGTTCTTATTGCTTGCACAACTAGCTTTCAGGAGCTCTATGGAATTGAGCCAACAAAACTAATCAGCGAAGCAGCCACAGACACTTGGATTGGAAAATTAAGAAGCTATTGTACCACATCAGACCCAGATGTTATATGGCCCAATACTCTTGTCAGCCAATAATCATCACCAGTGGCTTCAGAAGCTAGTTTAAGCAACCATACAATTGCATATTTATGAGCCATGAATTCCTTGACCCTGTTATTTAGCTATTGATTTTATCCAGTAAAACAACAGAATGGTCTGGCATTTGTTCATGAGTTTCTTAGGACACAGTAGGTCAAATCTTAGCTTTGGGCACAAGAAAACCAATTTTAAATTCTGGCTGCTGGAAAAGCTGAGATAAAGTTGTTGTGAGAGCATAAAGCAAAATCAGGGTTACAAAGCAACCCCAGGTATTGATTGCAACTACAGCAATTGTGACTTTCATTTTTAATTCTCGAAAGACCAATATGTTGAAATAAGTTCACTGTTGAGTGAAATTCTCTCTTCAATGAGCAGTAATAGAAAACCTATTAAGTGCTAACTGCATAATGAATCATACTACTAATTAGCTGGTTCCTGTTTGCATTTTTTACAGAATGCAAGCAATAAATAAAACACTTTTTCCACCTTTGTGAGATAATAAAATCTCCTTGTAATGACCCAGCTGTATTTCTAAATGCTTTTAAAAAGTAAAGGAGAACTATGATTTGATGGAAGTAGCTATACAATGAAGATGAAGAGGAATTGTCTCTATTTTCCTTTTTTCAAATAGCCATCCACAAAACACATGCAAATGAATGCAAAGATTAGTAATAGCAGAATTGCAAAATTTGTTCCTGTCTATTCAGAACAGAAATGGTGGCCCAAGTTCACAATCTTTCTCCTCACTCCAGCTTCAAACAAAATTTCACTTACAATACACTCCCTTTGGAAGAAAAGGTACCAATGACTTTTGTATTCACTACCGTTTCTGGCACAATTTAGTGCTAATGGTAAACTAATTTGCACAGCTGATTTTTTTATTTGCATGTCTCTTGTCTCTGCTTAACTCTTTTAATGGATTTGAGTCTAGCCCAGCCTTAGACCTAAATGGTTATAATTTGATGTGGAGCTGCCCAAATAAAGGTACTCAGCTAATGCCTTCAGTAATTTCACCACCATCATCACTCTCTCCAACAGACCACATTCTAAGGACATTATTTCTAGCTCAGGGTTGAAATAAGGGGTCTTTGGTGCTCTCTGAGCTTGATTGCAGACGTTTCATTACCCAAACTATGTAACATCATCAGTGCTAGTCCACTGACTAGTTCATTGACTGGTGATGTTATCTAGTTAGGGTAATGAAATATCTGCAAGAAAACCAAGCTCAGAGAGCACCAAAGACTCCTCAGATCACATTCTCATTCTGTTAATGGCATTAGAAAGAAAGTGGCATGTACTAACACAGGAAACAAAACAAAAAATATAATCCCCTATTATTTGGAACATATCAGCCGCCAGCTACATAGAATCTTATCTCCAGACTGAATATCAAAAATACAGAGTGCAGTTACCAAAATGAACTCCCTCCACATAACTCCCCTATACATCCAAAAAGACTAATATTTTTCCTGATTCATTGCTTTATTATCTGGAGAACAGTTAGGGATTGGTAGACAGTAATAACACAAGAGTTTTCTGTCTCTATACTGCAGCAACTTAACTTTCAAATAGGTTATCAAATACATATATATGCAGAGTCCTGCATAAATATTTGCAAGAGCATTTCTGTTTTAAATGCACAATTCTTCATTAACGGAGTCCCTTGTACTTTCCATATTAATCAACATTCTCCATCTTTTGCTCTATTGATGGCCATTCATCTTATTTTTATATAGGAAATTTCAACTTGTGTTCTAACCTCATTCTTACCTTTCCTCCACTACCCCTGAATATGGACAATAGTGGTAGTGAACAGGACAGTACTTTTCCTATTAAGTACTAAAAATCCCTAAAACTCTTCAAAGAACGGAAGTGCAAAATTTCATGGCACACAAGCCACATGCAAACCTCTAGCCCAAGATACAGCTCCCAAAATGTGATGGAAAAATTGGGATTTCCAAAAGTGGTTTGAGTGTGGACTGGAAACAGAAGACTGCTCTCAATCCTTCTTATAAATGTCTAAAATCTCACCACTAAAATCCAGCCGTTCAACCGTAATATTTTGTGTACTGCTTTATCACCTGAATTTTAGACTATTTAGAAGGCAAGGGGTATTAAGCGTGAGAATGGGTTGGTTGCCCAGCAATCTCAATCTTCCTATTCTCACTCTTAATCTCCATAAAAAGGATTGAGAAATGAATTCCACCTCTTCTTATGATGTCAACAGAAGACTACGGAAAACTGAGTTGTAGCCCCTGACTTTGCCCATACATATTCAACAAGATCCCAGGCCAAACCTTAGCACTCATAGTCAGAAAGAATGATTTCACAGGTAACAAGGCCTGCTGTTCTTTCCAAAGTTCCACTTTCCAGCCAGCCTTAGAAAAGTGGCATATGGTCTTACAGACTTTCTTTATGGTTACAAATTGGCAAGAACTCCCAATAAATATCTACAGTAAGAATAAGTCCAGAATGCCCTATTTCTAAGTCCAGAAAACCAAAACTAAGAAGGGTTAGTTTTACTCCTTTAAAGTCACCAAATTCAGTTAGCAGAAAAAATCAACTCCCTTAGGGAGTTAATCCAAGATGGGAAACCATGCTGAACAAAGGATTAGTCATTTTCTTCCCTGAAGGTATCAATTTTCTGACCACTGTATCTCCATAAGAACAGCCAAAATGTATAGTTTGTGGGCAGTGGATGTTCAGATTAGACCAGATTACCTTTGTGGGTGTGCCAGGAATAGAAGAGGGAGATGCTGGAAAGTTCAGGCCACATTTCTTTCCTAGGCAATGACTATTTGTCTCGATATCTTCATAGGGGTTTTCTTTTGCTGGTAAATCTGGAATTGAAAACCAAGGCAATAAATGTACATGTACATAAAACAAAATACAAGTTTTTCCTAAGAAGTTGGAAATGACATTTGTGGGCAGAATGAGGTTCCATCTCTTTCACAAACTACCATCAGCATATACAAGAGTCCTCGACCTACAACCACAATTGAGCCCAAAACTTTTGTTGCTAAATGAGACAGTTAGGTGAATTTGCCCTATTTTACGACCTTTCTTGCCACAGTTATTAAGTGAATCACTACAGTTGTTAAGTTAGTAACACCGTTGTTAAGTGAATTTGAATTTCCCATTGACTTAGCTTATCAGAAGGTGGCAAAGGATGATCACATGATCCCAGGATAACTGTCAAAAGTACGAGTTGCCAAGCATCTGAATTTTGATCACGTGATCATGGGGATACTGCAATAGTCATAAGTGTGAAAAATGGTCAAAGACAAGGTTTCCTTCTGAGAATGTTTTTGTAGAGGTACCTGTTACATAAGCAACACTGCATTGTGCACCTAAGGAGCTACTCCAGCATCACCTAATCTTTTCAGTAGTTATTTGCACTGATCTGCGGATTCTGTTTTGCAGCTGTAACCATTTCCTGGCATTTTATTTTTTTGTGGTCTTCCACAATGTGCCTTGACTTCCATATATGTTCCATTCCTTGACAGTATTTCTCACAAGAAAAATCACTAGCTGGAAGCATATACAGATTTTTAGTACCTTCCCATGCTCTGTAAAAATGAATTGTCTTCACTTTCAGATATTCCAGTGATGGCGAACCTTTTAGAGACCGAGTGCCCAAACTGCAACCCCAAACCCACTTATGTATCATTGGGTGCCGGGTGGGCGTGGCCCATTGGGTGGGCCTGGCTGCGGTGGTAACGGCAGACTGGGTGGGACTAAAAAGTTCAATCAATCAATTCCAACTTTTTTTCCCCGCAAGAAGTTGAAATTGATTGATTGATTGAACCTTTTTTTTTTTGCACACGGCGGCAGAAGCCTAAAGCGAAAAGGTTTTATAAAACCAAGCTGAGGGCCCAGGACTGGGGCGATGGCGCGCGTGCCCACAGACAGGGCTCTGCGTGCCACCTGTGGCACGCGTGCCATAGGTTCGCCACCATGGAGATATTCAGATGGGGAGCTTAAGGTGGTTAAAGGTCACAACCTGAGAGTTAGAACAATCAGGGTATTTGTTCACTTGTGGAATTACAGACTTAAGGAGTCATATATCTGTGGACCTTACTGATAACTGTACATTAAAAAAAAGAGTAACAATAATTCAACCAGAAAGCTACTCAAACTTTTATACCACGTGCATTACAGTATTTTCTTAATCTGAATTTGTGAGCAGCTGCACTTAAGGAATGAGTATGCATTCAACTTTGCAGAAAGTTGGCTTTAATGCTACACCATGCAAAGGCAATGTCAGCTTCCATTCACTGAGGGATTCACTGAAATGTAAAAAGACCATGACTGCTAAAACCTGAAGACTTCCTCTTCCAAGGTTCTCCAAACACCCCCCAAAACAAAAACTTCTGAGGACCATTAGGCTGAAAGAGAGTGACTGGTCCAAGGTAAGCTTTTAAACCAGGTTCCAACAATTGTTCTTTTTTTTTTTAAAGAGTCATACCTGAACATCAGTAGCCAGTGCCAACATCATGACTGGATGGCATGAGGGGAAAAGGAAAGGGAAATTGAAGAATAGTTTTGGAAGAAAAGATTAAAAATAACGTGCTGAAGCATGCTGAAAGGAGGAGAGCATACTGAAGGTGCGTTCTAAGCTGGAAATGTTCAACTTCTTATAGGCACAATTCAACACAAAAGTTGGATTCACATATCATATTAAATGTATAATGCAACTGGTTTATTTTGGGCTTAGTGTATAGCTTACTGCTACAAGCAAATCAGCCTATTCCAACTTATTCATCAAAGAGCAATTTAAAAAAAAATCTCTGTTTAGTATTATGAGTCAATCAATAAGATGTGCTTTTTGCCTATTGATTTTGACATTTTATTTTATGTTGGATTGTGGCTATTACTTTAGTTTGAGTATTAACAATTTATTTAGAACTCATTGTTACATACTAGCAAACTGATGGATCACATTTGGATCAGGTTTTACTCAAGGTAGTAGTATACATACTACTGTATACATGCAAATGTCTTCCTTGCTTTGACATATGCATACAACACTGAAATAATGTATTTTTTTCTTTTCTCATATTAGCTTGTGTTGGCTTCATCTATTGCTTTCTGTTGACTAGAAGTACTTGCCAGGGTTATAGTCCTGTCATGCACTGTATGTTATTCCTATAAATAAGAGGATATTGCATGCCATAAAAATCCGTTCTAACCTCAAAAATTATGTATATACATGCCCTAATACACCAAGGAGATGTTACTTTAAACATGCAAGTTTTCCAGATGCTGAATTTTGATCAGTCCCAAATAGCATGGCAACACTCAGATTTGCAGAAATTAGAGTTCAACTAATATCAGGAAAACTGTTGGTGCCCATCCTTATCCTTACAAGGCATTATTGTAATTTCCACCCCTCTGATCTTCTAGAAAACAAGTCTATACGGAAGCCTATGGTTTGAAAAATGCCACATACTTTTGCACTAAATATTCACACATCCACAGAGTACCTTACAGCACAAAGCTCACAATAGTTGTTCTTCATCTCCAGAATGCCTACCTAGAATATCTTCATAGACATTTTCCTCTGATAAAGTGCGGGTTAGGGCCATCTTGCTTTGAGCGTACCAATCCACTCGGCCATTCTCAGAGGAGGATTGCAACAAATCTTCAAATTCATAGGACTTCCTAGGGCATTTATTTAGAAAGAGCAGAGAGATGGTGGGAAAAAAAGGTAGATATCTCAGAAGAATACAATAAAGCAAATCACTCAAAGTATTACTGGAGAAAAAGTGTATTTTTATAGCTTTATGTCACACTAAGCAACCATCAAAACGTCTTAAACCTCCCAGGCTATGGCTTTCCTTTCTCCAATACATCAAGAGATTCTTACACCGGGCTTTCACTTTGTCTCTAACTATCTGAAAATTTCTGGCTGCTTCTAAGTCTCCCCCCTTCTCCCCTCTTCTTTAGCCTTGGATTGATTCCCAGAATATCTGCATGAATCCACCTCTCATTCCTTCCAAATCCCTCTTCAAAATCTATCTGTTCGTGAAGTTTTTAGTTCATTCTCTTAGTCCCACTACCCATGGTATGAGTAAATTTAATAGAAGTATATCCCCATTTTATGTAGCAGAATACATACAAAATTATATTGTTCATTAAAAATCACACTATAAGAGAAAGAGATATAATCAATATATAGTAATACCTGTGATCTGCGTTAGCCTTAAGCTTTCCATTCCTCAGCCTTCTACTAATGGCTGAGGGGGGAGGCGAGGAAGGCAGAGGAGGGGGTGGAATAGAAGGGAGAGGGGGAAGGAGTCTCTTATTCCGAGCAGGAAGAATCCACCCCACTTCACCTTCGTGTTTGAAAGTCCGTCGGGGCTTGGGAAGTGGGTTGATAAAAGGTTTCTTCTCTGGCAAGCCAGGCTCCATATATACATTTTCTTCATTGTGAGATCTGCATTTCACACAAGATGCTTTCACCTCTTCCAAAGTCCCAAAGATTGGTTCTCTGGCTTCAGTATCCAAGCCAAGGAGCCACTTACTTACTTCTAAGCGGTTGGTACTTTCCTGGCCTTCTGATGGCTCCTGATCCTCACCTGTCTTCTCTTGCAGACAATGTGGAGAATAATAAGTACCTGGTAGCTGGGGCTGGGCTTCAGCTGACCCACACTTCAAGGCCTGCTCCAGCTTCTTGACTTGACTCAAAACAGACAGGTTCTCCTTCTGGACTTCCTTCCTACTGTCCTTCAGCTCAGTACATTTACCCACACTGAAATTACATTCTTCCTCCCTTGATTTCACATCAGTTTTCCTTACAACATGCTGCCCAGCATTTTTAAAGGTTCCGACAGGCCTCTCATCCTCCTTGCTTGGCCCCTTGTGATTTGGGGGCCTCTTATTCTCCACTTCTCTCATTGCAACACTATTCCTAGTCATCTTCTCCATTACACCCAAAACTGGACTGGGTTCCTCTTTAATACTTTGGTCCTCCTCCTTCCACGGGGACCCCGGAGCCGGAATTTCCTTTTTTCCTTCCCATTCTGAAATCTTGTCCTTGATACTTAAAGGCTTGTTTTTCAAGCTGACTTTCCCAACAGTCCGAAGATTCTGACAGCCACCCATTTGCTTCCTTAGAATCCTGCCGCTTTCCCGCATGTTGAGATCTACTGATGGATCTCCAATGATCATCTTGGGACTTAGCATATTCTGCTGAAAACAGTCCAGTCTTGGATCCAGCATCAATTTCTTTACGGTTTTCAGTGGACTCTCTTCCACGGTATCTAGTTCTGCTTTAGGCAGTAGCTTGGGTGTGAAAGCAACGCTCTTCGACCAATTACACTTTGAAAGCCTACCCCAAAATCCTGTTTTTGCAGCTGTATTATTTACACTTGCAAACCTGATCCTAGGCAAAAAGGGAAAGTGTCAGAAGAAATTTACAGGTTGGTATTCATCATTTCAGTAGAGTGTGGTGAGCTGGATTTAATATTTAGTTGAATATTAAATATATGACACTTTAACTTAAAAGATACCGGAGTGCAGAATTATTAAATAGTTTTTGCTGTAATTTTTTTTACTGTCTTCCCACTAATCTAAATTTATCTGCAAAGAGGAGTGCTTTTCTATCTTTTCAGTAAAACATTAACATCTAGCACCTCATTTATTTACAAAAGTGTCCAGTAGCACCTTAAAACAAAACACATTTATTCTTCATAAATTCATTTGTTTGAGCATTCCAAAGCTGATGCCAAAATAAATATATTTCTCATTTGTCAACATAAAACTATTTGGTATTTTTCCCCTTCGCTATATTTGCAGATTAACCTGAGTGTGTCTGGAAACTCTTCAAAATCCCCTCCTTTCTTAAAAGCTAAACTAGGTAAGATCCTAGTTTTAAGGTCCTAGATGGGTTATCTATATTAAGAAAATATTTGTATGGACACTACTCATGCCTTTACTCTGAATACCTAGTGCACATTGACTTTAAATATATGTTTAAACTAGACTGAAAACCTTTCTACTTAACAGTTTATTATATGAGGCTGCTAAACTAATGATATGCAGCTCCAGAGATGAATATAGTGCTGAGAGATTCTTAAAATCTTATCCTCAGGTTAATAGGATATTGGAAGGAGGGACTATTAAACAGGGGGATTTTAAATTGCAATTGATTACTTATTATTACATTTTTAAGATTTATATGTTATTTATAGCATATAAAATTATATGCAAAGTGACTATTTCCACAGCTCGCAGTATATTAGGGATTTGTTTCCTACCTAAATATAAACAATAAAAGCTGCAGCCAGAGTAACAGAAAAAGATCAGTTTAGCACATGTAGTTAAAACATATTAATATAACAAAAAGCCTAAGATGTTTCTTTGTCCAGTACTGAAATACTAGGGCTTATATTTCTAGCAAAGCCTCCAAAATCCAGGTCAGGGTCTTGGTTCAAATAAAAAAGTTATGAATAAATTTGACTGTCTCTTTTAAATTTTCCCCTCTTCTCCCCTACTTTATATCCTGGTTAAGTTTCTAAAGTCATGATTAATGACAATAAAATAGAAATAAATATGGAGAATAAATATTCCCTACCCTTATCCAAAACAATAAAATAAATCCCCCACTGAGGCCTCAGTGAAGCTGAGGTCAACAGAAGGCACTTTGGTTGTAAGTCATGGCGGTCATTAAGTGGGTTATGTGACCTGACTCAGTTTTATGACCATTTTTACAATGGTTGTAACATGAGTCCCCGCAGTCGTTAAGCAAACCACATGGTCGTTAAAGGGAATCCATTTTTTCAAATGGACATTTTTTGCCAGAAAACAGCAAAAAACAACATAAAAGGCTATCATGTGACCCTGGGTTAATATAAATGGTTGTAAAGGTGAGCCAATTGCCAAGCACCCAAAATATGACTATATGTGTGCGTGCGTGTTGTGTCAGTCATAACTTTGAGGAAGAGTTGTAACTAATGGGAGTTATTAAGTGACTGGTCGTTAAACAAGGACTACTTATATTAAATTCCTGCCTACCCTTCATTTGGAAATCAGCACAAACAGAACATTAAGAATATTTACCTCTCAATTTTTTTGCAAATAATGATTTCAGGCTTGTTCTCCACATTGGGGGCGGCACTTCCTGTCATCGTGTTAGCAGCTGGCATGGCTGCAGGCCACCTAGGAAGAAATACATAAAGCAGTACATTCATAAAAAGCTGGGTGCTTTGTCCCGTGATTTGCAGCAGATACTCTTTTATATGTCTATACATTCAGACAATTGGGATTTATTCAATAAAATAAGGTGAAAACAACCCTAAATTCATACCGTTACTCATCCCCCTTTCTTCGAAGAGCAGTTTTTGAGATGCTATAATTATTCAGTAGTTGTTTAGGTTGCTTTCTATGAAAACACTTTCCCCCAACTTGGTTTGTTCTGGGTGGTCCATTGTTTCGCTCCCATAATCCTTAGCACAATCATATCTGGGGCCCACAGACTGGAAAAAAAGCTTTGTTAATTAAAAGCCAGGGATAGTGATTAGGCTCAGAAGAAATGTTAGAAACAGAATTATTAACTGTACTGTCACCAATGTAGAAATTGTTTTCAGGAAACAGAATGCAGTTTAAAACAATGAAGATAAGACAGTAATCAACAATTGATTAGGATCATGTGGTCTTTGAGGTTTTTTTTAAATTCAGCCTCCCTTCTCCCCATTGCTTTTGGATCCTACTCTCCTGCTGGAGAGCATTGGAAAGTTTGCTGCCAACACTGACATAAAACGGTCTCATTTCAATTATAGTTGTAAAACTATGTTACTGAGTTCAGTCTGTTTCTTCAGACTCAGAAACTAAACAGATTCTCAGCCTGCCCTTTGGGAATTAACAGAAGAGGGCACATTGGGAAAAGGGGCATTCGAAGAGATATTGGTGCAGGCTGGGGCAGTTGATCCAGAGCCCTAGGTTAAGCAAGGAACCCATATCTCTGTCTCTCCTCTTGCTTGAATTATCTGGCTGAACTCTGGATGGAAAATTGACTACTGTACTGTACTCATGGATTCACCTGAACCTACTTCAGTATTTAGCTCTCTGGGTTTTGATTTTTGAAAAATTAAGGTCTTATACTTTTGCTTTTCTGTATGTTTCGAGCAGAATTTTAATCTGCATTTTATTTATCAAATTTATCTTTCATCTATCTCGTGGTTCAAGGCAATTCTTTGAGTCAGTAAATACCTCTAGGTTATAGTACAAGCTGTCTGAGCCTATACAAAGGACTGGGCTACCTATAGTATGTTGACACCCTATAATTCCATGGGCGGTAGTTGCCCTGTAAGCCAAAGGTCCAACTGAGCTGAAGAATTCCTTCCAAAAATGCTTGGAAGCGATGACTGCATCTTGCCAGAATTTCCTCTTTGCAATTTGAACTGGGAACTGTGAATCCAAACAAAATGATGCTAAGTCCTCGCTTACTGATGGTAATTGGGACCAAAAACTCTGTTGCTAAGCAATGTAATCATAAGGCATGATGGCAGTTCTGGCAGTCCCAATTGCCATTGTTAGGTGAATTCTGCATGATTGCAGCATCCCACAGTAATGTGATCACCATTTGCAACCTCCTGATGGCTTTCCCATTGACTTTGTTTATGAGAGAAAGCAGGGAAAGTTGCACATTGTGATCATGTGACCGCAGGAGGTTGTGATGTCATAATTGCAAACCAGTCACCAAGCACCTGAATCACAAACATGTGACCACAGGGATGCTGCAACAGCTGCAAATATGAGGACCACTTGGTTAGTGATGTCATAACATTCAGTTGCTGAATGAATGGCTGATAAACAAGGACTATCTGCATTTGTTAGAAGGAAAATAAATGTCAAAAACGCAA